TTCAGACTTCAGTTAACACAAATGCGAGTGAATATAGAACGAGAGGTATGTGTGTAGTAGTGTATTTAGGAAATAACCACAAAAAGGTGTCACGCTATGTTAATATCACAACGGAAAATGGTGATCAAGGTCATTTACATAACTTACAGGTACAATCATTTAATAATAAATGTATATACAATGAAAGATTAGCAAAATAAATACAAGCCTTATAAGTGCTAACATAAAGAAATTTAACAAGTTTGAATAATACTACTTATATTAGGGTGTATGCTACTTATGTTAACCGTTATAAGTAGTACGTAACACTAATCAGAAGTGAAATGTCTATCAATATAGAATTGAAAGACAAAAACAGAAAAGAATTGAAATAAAAACAGAGCTACAAGAATCATGAAGAATGTAAATGACAACTGATGAATGATCTGTGCACGAAGGTATTTTTCATATATGTGGTTTTTATAAATTACAAAGATATATTGTAATTTTGAATTGAATCATAAATTGGTTCCTCCCCCCACGCCACTTAAGTATTCGTTCATAAAACTGAATACACTTTCATCATACAATTATGCAGTGAATCTTAACCAAGGAATCTACATGTTTACGAATTATCTTATAATAGTTAGTATATGTATAGGCTGTTACTATGTCAGTCAACCCAATACATAGGTTATTGCAGCTTCCAGACAGATCAATTTATTCATACTTCTCAAGCGTCATTTTGACATTGTTGATTATTCGCTTATTAACCTTAACTGTTATGTATGTGAATTGTCTGACCTATTCATTATGTGTTTGGAATTGAATTTCATCTGAATACAACTGTTAAATCACGCTTGAACTAAACGACCTGGCTCACTCGATTTCTCTGCTGCAAGTCACTCCGTCTTGCTTCTCTTCGCTTTCTCTAGTTGGTTTCTCTGATTACCTGTCTGAATCAATGAGTGTATGAAATATACGTATTGAGAATTTATTCTCATATTTGGCTTATTTTATTTCGTTGTTCCCTAACACAAATTAAGTCGATGATTATACACGAGGGTTATTTTATTTATTTATTTAACCACATAAAAATTGATACAAGAAGGCACCAAATACATATGCGCCACACAAATCATTCAATTTGTGTGAGGGTTAGGATACTACTCGGGTGCTCAACACGAACCACGTGGTTTGCTTAGGAACCAAAACCCGAAGCCTTTGACCTAAAGATCCAATTCACAAGGCAGTAGAACAACGTAAGGAGATGCAGTCCTATGGTAGTCGGTGACCAACAATAGATTCATACGGCTATTTTTCCTTCAGGATACTGGAGCCCATGTGCACCATTCGTTTGTAATTAGGATTTTCCAACTCCCCTAGTTGGACACTCCATGTGCATCAACCCAGTTAAACCCATTGCCAGACATTCGATTTTTGTCTCCTCAATTTCGTAAACAACACCCACACTGTGAGAAGGTAGTGAGTAGGACTTCTCTGGGAATGGCTATATACGCGTAGCTATGTGAGAGCATTTCGAGAGAGAGAGAGAGGACTGACTCTCCCCATTGACGGCCGTGCCAGAGCATATACGAGGGTAGTCAGGAATAATATTTCGATAACAATCAACATACGATTTAACTGAAATTAGATATAGGACCACTAAAATATCTTCTATTTCAAATTCATAAAACAAGCTTCAAACCAATGGCGCACATGGGCTCCAGTATCCTGAAGGAACAAATGGCGTATGAACCAATCGTTGGTCACCAGCTACCATGGAACTGCATCTCCTTACGATGCTCCACTGCCTTGTGAGTCAGACGTTCAGGTCGAAGGCTCGGTATGTGGCCCCCTAAGAAAACCACCTGGTTCACTTTGAGCACCTGGGCAGTATCACAGGCCTCACACAAATCAAATGAGATTTGTATGTCGCATATGTATTTGGTGCCTCTTTGTACCAATACCTGTGTTAAAATAAATAAATAAATATTTCATGATCACCAATGTTTCCACTTAATGCAATCGATATAAGTTATAAGACAGCTTTAAAATGTTAATTGAAGAACAACATAGTTAGAGGTGTTACACAGAAATATGATTTATTGACTTTTATGATTGCACGTTGGATGTAAAGTGACAATTCAAAATATAAAGTGGGCTAGTTGATTTCATTGTACAGTAGCATGTGTGTTTGAAGTTGATTATTTCTATAAACGATACTCTATGAAGCATTATGATTGTGTAAGTTTACAATATTTCACAATAATCAATCGTTTTATATGCTAATGCCAAGAAAAAACAGTTTCCTATATATTGAACAATACTTCCACGATGTGGGCAACCGGGAAGTTATAAACGCCCTCATACCTTCAACAGTACTCAAGACCACTGTATTTGTAGTTAACAATATGAATTTCTGTTGTCCACAACATTCGTTGAAGATTTTGCTGAACATAGACTGACTGATCATAGTAGCAACGTTTATCATGGATTACATTAATAATAATAATAATAATAATAATAATAATAATAATAATAATAATAATAATAATAATAATAATAATGATAATAATAATAATAATAATAATAATAGAGTGGGGAGAGTCCGCTCACCCTCCCGAAATCCTCTCACATGGCCACGCGTATACAGCCTCTGCCACGGAAGTCCTACTCACTGCCTTCTCGTGGCGGGAGTGTTTTTTTACAAAACTGAGAGACGAAGAGCGAATGTCTGGTGCTTTAACATGGTTAGTGGATATGGACAATCCACCTAGTGGAGTTGGAAAACCCTGTTTCCAAACCAACGGTGCACATGGATTCCAGGATCCTGATGGAACAAAAGACGTATGAACCTATTTTTGGTCACCGGCTACCATGGGACTGCACCTCCTTACGTTGCTCCATTGTCTTGTTGATCAGACCTTTAGGTCAGAGGCTCCGGGGTTGGCTCCCTAAGAAAACCATCCCCTTTGGTTTGGGCACCCGGGAAGTATCCAATTGCTCACACAAATCTAACGATTTTGTGGCGCATATCTATATGGTGCCTTCTTGAAACTATGTTTATATATTTAAATAAATAAATAAGTGTATTATATCACTAGTCTTTACAAAAAATTATGGCTTGAAGCTGATTACATAAACGTATACTAAGTAAACGAATAACAATGTGAATATGACATTTAAATATTTCCGTTAGGGATGAAAGTGTTGTAACATAAAATTTACTAGCCACTAGATAGATTACTAATAAGTATTAATTTTAAACGTACCCAATATGTATTACACCCATAATTTCAGCTAATCGATTTTTAGTGATAAGAGTAGGTTTACGTTCAACTGGTTGATCTGATACTTTACAACTACGTTCACGAAATCCATATGGTGGATCAGTTATTATAGCATCAAATAAACCATCATGTGGAATACGTAAAAATTTATGTAGTGATACTATATCAGCTACCATAACATCTAAATAACGTGATTCCAATTTATATTGTTCATAATTCGATCGTAATGTTTCACCACAACGTCTTTCCTATTAAGAATATATAAAGAAAATGATTTAGACGTAATTACAGGCTTCAAAGAAACAGATGGTACATATATATGAGATATTAAGTGATAGATTTATTAATGTATCACAAATGTTTGATTAAATGAACTAAACGACAGTTTTTTTTTCCAACAATTGATATGAGTTACGGGAACCATTGGAAACTAGGAAGCACCGGAATGCTACTTTTTCCAGGTATGGGACACCTCAGCAACCTGTGTACATGACCTCGGTATGATTCGAACTCTACGGCAGAGTGCTTGTAACCTTTGAATAAATTAGTTGAAATTTAATCACTCAATGCTGTTGGTGATTAAACTGCCTTATCATTCAGATGAGTAACCTTTACGAACTACAAATTCTTACAAGAACTTCGAAGATTCAATTAAGATCCGTTAGCACTACTGGTGGGTACTATGCTAGAATGAAACAACTGTAATGAGCACCTTGGTTGTCAGTGGTTTCACCTGTTATCACCCATGAAGAAAAGCCTTGACAAACCTCCCAACTAAAAATGGTTCGGTTGACTCTTATTTTCATCAGTATGCAAGATGGAAAACGTTAACTCCCCTTAGATGTAGTCCCTATCACTAAACGGTGGTCGATTTTGCAGATACTAGCGACCCACTAGTTCTATACGATAATTATATAATACAATGAATATTATGTGAGTAGCAGTGAAAACAAACATAGCTAATTAGAAATTCGAAGATAAATTCGTAGTATGAACTGTACAAGTTGCATTAGAAGTACTGTTTTCAGTGGACAATGAGAAAAACTAGCGGTGTCTCCTAGTCAGTAAGAAGTCGTGGTTTAAGGGACTTGGCTAAGAAAAATCGACACAGGCTCTCTCTAATATCATAGGTAACGTTCATTGAATACACAGTGAAATATGTTCTTGCAACTTTAGCAAATATTGACGAGATTGTACTGTTTGTTATGTATAATGGCAGGATGTAATCTTACGAATACTATGAATGATAAATGCTTAGTGCAACTATACATCAATATATGAATGGAATCACAAAGAACATTAGTCAAAAAAAAAAAAGAGAGGTAAAAGGATAAGATATAAACAAGAATAAGGAATATTAAACGATTAAGTCTGAATAGAAACACGAATAAGAAAGATATTGTGCAGTAGAAAGTTATTCCATATAGTTTATATAGAGGACAAATAAAAAATATCAAATACATTTGACAATTAAGTTAAAATAAATCAAGGATGATTTGGAGTGGTAACCTATTGTTTTTGTGGTTTGTTCACAGTTACATTCTCATTTCGTTACAAAGATTAGAAATAATGGAAAGTTTTAAACACACATTTCATTTATTGATAGAGGAAAATTATGATACTTCAAATAAGAATTCAGTCAGTCAGTTACAATGTAGGACAAGGCACATATATATGATGTATCGGTTCAAGTTGCTATACCTCATTAGCATAACAAGATGAACGCTGAGTTCATAGAAGTAGTTAATTCAGTGCTGGTAATATATAAAAGAAAGATTACATATAAGGATATAGTATAGGAAGGAAGAATTAATGCATAGAAAGAAAGATATAAAGCGATTTTAATCTCACCGTTGAAGAGGAGACAAAGACTGTACACACCTACGCCAATGTGATCGATTCTGAGCCATGTCACCCAAAGTCTCTAACTACTGGTTACGATAGTCACACCGACCCCAACTAAGTAGTCTGCATCTACTAACGTGGCTCAGACTAGAAGTTAGTGACTTCAAGCACTGATGCAAGTTTTTGGTTTGGTAGTGTCTAATTTTCTTCCAGTCATTCCCAACACTAGTCCGCATTGCGCGTTGTGGTAATCGTTATTCAGGCATACGTAACACGTGGCCCAACCATCTTAGTCGATGAAGATTCACAACCTCATCAACTGATTTACTATCATTCCATAATACCCTGCGTCTAACCTCACTATTATTTACCCGGTGATCACAACAGATGCGAGCAATATTCCTAAGCATCTGTGGTCAAATACTAGTAGCTTACGAGTAAGTCAACTGGGAATAAATTTTCAAAACTAAAACGATGCACAAAATAAGTTTAATCGAAATCTTGGTAATTAAAATCTAATTTTTGGAAAAAATTGTTTTTAAAAGTAAATAAAAGACAAAAGCCCAATTACAAGAACAGATCTAACGAATTAGGTGGTTGGAGGTAGTCGACAGGGAACTCTGGACCCGGGTTTCGTGCTACTTGGCACTCGTCAGCAAGGTGTACCTTTAATCTTAAGGGAACTGGTGCTCTCTGACGGATTCGATCCCGTGTCACCCAGCTTCACAGTCAGAGACGTTACCACTGAGCTATCCGGGCCGTGACCGACCTCCTGTAAGACTGACATGTAATCACAATTGATTGATCACTAGGTGGTGATTAATGTCATGCTTGCCTAGTCCTTATTAGTGTAGATCGAATGCTATTGACCTATGCTATCGATCTAACGAATTTAATATTCGATGACAGAATAAACATAATAATCATATAGTACTTAATTGATGCTATCGGATATTCTCTAATACCATCTAACTCTCTAGTGAAAACGTTAGACAGTAAACCATTTCATTCAAACAATAATAATGACTCGGATGATATTCTAATCTATTTCATAAAGGATTTACTTCTTATAAAAAGTCATTACTTGTTATTTGAATTTTATGTGTGCTATAAACTTAGTAATGAATATTGGAAACTTCTTCATGTTATTATTTCCTTAATTTCAAAGAGTTGTAAACGGTAAGAAATCTGTTATGACTTTATGTCCGGCTTTCTATCACGTGATTTATCCACCAATCAAAAATACGGCTTATATAATCTTCACACTGTGCCAAACCAATGACGTTCGACCGGTATGAGGAACCTAGCGTCCTTATGGATCCTATGTTCGTCTAACCCGTCTATTTGAATCCAGAATACCAATATCAGCTTCCACTGTGCGAATCGAATCGAGTCATATATTTCAGACATACTGGGTTTATATACCAAACAAACAAACCGCAACGCACCATAAAATAGGGAATAACATTTATACAAAATAAAGCCAAAAAGTAGCTGTGAACATGGGAGGCAGTAGTTAATAAACTGAACATAGCTTAAGAACAGTATATCGTATAATAATAAATTATAGGTCAAAATGAAGCTTATAATAAGGGGAATATAGATATACATAATCTAGTTACTGAATAGTTATACCATGAGAATATATATAAATAATATTAGTTCATTAATAGTCCTCGAGAGTTAACCATAATTTAATCTTCACTAGGATATAACAAAATCAACGGTCCACTTTGATGATATTTACTAGTGTAAAAAATTAGAACTAGATTTCTCTAAAAATATCTAATTCCACGGTTCAACTTCCACCGAATAACCAAAAATGCAAATAAAAGTATAGTACAAAAATTATATGTAATAAATAATAACAACTCACTTGACCAGCTTTTGGAGACATTCCTATTCCATGAAGTACAGAATAATCTATATCTGAACCACCACCAAATGAACCCCATATAGAAGCTGCTATAACTGTACTTCCGGTACCAATAAAAGGATCCCAAACAAAAGATGATTTTTGACAAAGTCCTACATTAGCCATTATTGCTGCTAATGTTACATTCATAGTTGTATTGCCTAAGTGAGCTCTTTCTGATAGACGATAATCGTTCATCATATTTCTCCTTATACTACTTCCAATTAACCGTCCATATAACAGTCGACACAAATGACCCCCAGAATTAATTGTATTCTTTCCAAGGTTCTTAGGGGTGTATTCTAAAAGAATGTTGATTTGATGCTAGAAACACAATGAAAAAAATTCAAACGATAGACGCGTGAACAGCTTAGACTATTGGTAGTGATTAGAAACTCACTAGCCACAAACAGCTTAACTAATGTTAAACATAGGTAAGTGGATTAAATATTGATTACAAGATGAGTTTAGACCTACATTTTAAAGTTTGAACAACCCCAGAACTCTCTTGTAGATGGTGTTAAATAACATATTACCGATTTCTTTACATAATGACTCCCTTAAGGGATTCACTTCTCTCTGGCGAATGAATGGTTGGTGAGAATTACGTAGGGGATATAGTCAAATTGACAATATACTGTAACAACACAGTTATTTATGAATCGTGTCTGTAAAACGCACTATGTTTGGTGATTCAGAGACCCAGTTGTTGAAATAATTATCCAACTGGTCATCATATGATTTATTTAAACACATGACAGGACGAAAAGCGAATGTCTGGCACTGACTTTAACCGGGTTGGTGGACACGGAAAGTCCACCTAGGGGAGTTGGAAAACCCTGATTCCAAACCAATGGTGCACACGGACTCCAGGATCCTAAAAGAAGAAATGGTCCATGAACCAATCGTTGGTCACCAGCTACCATGGAACTGCATCTCCTTACGATGCTCCACTGCCTTGTGGATCAGACCTTCAGGTCGAAGGCTCCGGGTGTGGTCCCCTAAGAAAACCACCTGCTTCGGTTTGAGCACCCGTGCAGTATCACAGCTCTCGCGCAAATCAAATGAGATTTATGTGGCGCATATGTATTTGGTGCCTCCTTGTACCAATACCTATGTGTTAAAATAAATAACAAATACAATTCTATTAAAACAGATTGATTGACATTGATTACGGAAATTTGAAAACTGGAAAATGTAAGACATTTTATACTAGATAAAAAATATACCAGGCAACAGTATGATTAGGAATTTCGATGGCGTTTATACTGTAAGATCACGTAACAGTTTTATTCACCTAGATTTAGAGTAAAAAAAAACCAGCAAAAGATACTTATAGAACATCAAGCATGAAAGCTACAAACAATAACTTACAAACTACTCACATCTGGGGATGATAAAGAAACTTGAGCGTCAATCCTCTTATGGGCATCAAGAATAGTTTCTATTATAGGTATTTTCTCCTCTTGTTTGAGCTTCTTATGAGCAGAACTTAAAACTATTTTGAAAGTGCCACAACCATTTAAATAAGGATCTATCAACTCATTAGGAAGATTGGCAACCTATTTGAATAAATATGGATTAGAGGTATTTCAATACAATTTACCTGTTCAATTAATTCTGATAAGGTTGCTGCTTCACACCATAAATGAAAAGCAGACTTAATTAAAACGCTACGTTTAATAATTGACAAAACGGAATCATCATTTTCCATTTCAACTACAATATATGGCCTCAACCAATCATCTTTAGATTCACTAACAGAATAACTAAGTTGTTCAATTTCAGCCAAGGACTTGAATTCAATCCAACGAAAATTTACAAATTCAGATGCAGCAAATGAGAATACATATTTATTCATTTTAATGTTTGATTGAGAAGCATATATACAGTGTTCAGTACTGAATTTTGCGTACTTGGTAATTATGTAGTTCAGAGACAAACTAAATATATAAGGTAACAAAAAAGTGAGAATTTATGTGATTTAAATGGGACAACAGAAATTTTATATAACTATACAGAAAAACAACGGTACCAACTAATGTAATCAATCATGAATGGGTGAAACTGTAGTCTAAGTACTTCGTCTTAGAGAGAAATAGTGGTAAAAAGACTGAACTTTTCTGATGCCTTGTAGAAAACGGCGAGACTATAATTTATGGACGAACCAATAAGGTAAAAGACAATAGGCCTCGGATATTGTAGCGAAATTCACTCATTCAATTTGGTTAAATAGAATTTTGGCATTATAGCTTATATTAGTTCGTGATGGAAACCCGAAATCTAATTCCTAACGTTAATCATCAACTGTAAAACATAATTCTAATTCCTCACACAGGTTTAGAACCCTTACTTGGTCATAGATATTAGGTGGACACTCTCAAGGTCAGTCTACCTTAGCTCAAAAATCGTCCACAAATTATGGTCTCGCCACTGATTCATTTCCTGACACAATAAGGAATGGTTTTGTCATCGAGGAAGAGATCGACAAATTCTTCAATAAGGTAGACTCGGGGAAAATTTCAGATGTTCTTCTAACAGGTCTCTCTTATTCTAATTATCCAATTACATCAAGTGAAATTCAAACCCATTGTGTGACGACTGTTTTGAATGGATCTATTTCTGATTTGATTTTTAGTGATGTCATATCAGATGTCCACTATTCATTAGTTTCTAATGAAGTCCTTAATGAATTTGAGGAAAATATTTCAAATGAACCAACTTCTGACTATGTGATAACAAATGTTGTTTCTCTCAAAATGGATTTATTTCTTGTGTAAACCTTGGTCGATATGAATCACAAGTTTTTAATGGGTTTAAATATAATTACAGTTCAAATGTTGCTTATCCTTACAGTTCATTCGCTCCTAGTCAGCATGAGAAGTGTTATAGAGTCACACCCTGATCACGTTTCAGATTTTATTGTAGCAGATGTTGAGTGCTCTAACACCTCATATAGGTCACGTAGAATCCCTATTCAACTTTATAATAAATCAATTAATATGACAAGTGTTTGCGAAGCAGTTCCGAGACCAAATTTCTCAGGAGTGATGTCCTCTCAGTGTGAAAATTTACACTTAGTCCCCAAGTATAACAACTCGATATTCCGGGTAACGATCGATGCCTTCAACGGATGAGATGAACCAATTGTTGGTCACCGGTTACCAGAGAACAGCAACTTAGCTGATTCCCGGAATAGCGAAGCTTCCGTATGATGCTCGACTGGCCAAGATAAACCTATTCCCTTTGTCATATCGTAGAACTATAGGCGACTTGATTACAGTTTCCAAATTGCTTAGTGATAAATTGGCACCTGATATGCCCTCATTTTTCCTGTCTTCCAAAACAGAGAATTTACGAGGACACTCCAGAAATGTTCACAAGCCCAGAACAAATTACTTGTCAGCTGATTATCGACTTTCCCATCGAATCATCAACGAGTGGAATTCATTACCTCAACACGTGGTTGAAGCTCCATCCGTAGATTCTTTCAAAAGAAAGTTGGATCAACTGAGAGAACACAATTGCCAGGACTAACACAGGCCATCAAGCCTCCTGTACTTTCCAAACTGAAACTGATATGTGTTCAAATAAATAAATAAAATGCTCCACTGCCTTGTGGATAAGATCTCTAAGTCGAATGCTCGAGGAGTGACTTCCTGAGAAAACAACCTACTTCGGTTTGGGCACCCGAGTAGTATTATAGCTCACAGAAATCGAATGACAGTGTGGCATATACATGGGTGCCTTCTTGTCCCAGTTTAAAATAAATTCATGGTACTTGTCATGTACAGCAACTAATGTACATCCTGTCAGTTTTAAAACTGGTGATTTGAACGTGAGTGCGTAACAAAACTGGAATTTATAAACATCGCTTCATGTTATTTCTTGCAAAGGGAAATGATACTGCTTAACTGTTTCAACCAAGGTGTGCACATGTACAGTAAAGTCTGTAAGCTACCAGATTTACTCATCACACCACCGCTGCGTTGGAAATCTTGTGATGCGAGTTACTCGTACAGCTAGAGAGTTTCCTCATTGGTTTTCTAGGCGAGACTATAATTTATGGACGAACCAATGACAGGTCTTGGATTTCGGTGCGAAATTCGTTCACTCATTGGTCTAAGCAGCTATTTGACATTTTATTTAATGTCAGTTCGTGATGAAAACCATAAATTTAATCCCTAATCATTAATCATTATTCATAATCCTTATTCTTCAAACTGCTTTGTAACCCCCCTTTAGCTCTAGTAAGGAAGTGAATATTCTCAAGGTCTTTACAGCGTCGCCCAAAGGTCCTCTATAAATTATAGTCTCACCAAAATGTCTTCTTAGGATTACCTATTCCTGTATGTTGGCTACACTATTCATATAACATTTCAGTTAGCCTACCAGTGGTTAGCCATCGGTATTGAGATTTCAGGCGTGTGTAGTAAGGACAGCTGTCCTTCTGAAAACCTGTCGATCGCACTCAAAAACTACAGACATGTTTAACGATCTAACTGATTCGGCGAGACTGTCATAAATTATAGTCTCGCAGCATGCCGCTTACCACAGTTGACAGTAACGCACAAAACAAATAGCCGCATCCGGAACTCAAGGTCAAATAACTTTCAGCGAACAGGAGAGGTCTTCGATCAAAGAGATTTCTTTGTTTGTACCTCCGGGAAGGAACAGTGGTATATTTAACAAGCACAAGGCGGATATTAACAAATTAGAATAATTTAATGCGCTAGTAATCTTAGAATATATCAAATTTAACTTTACAAAATTCCTGAAAAGTTCCTTGTATCAAATCAGTAATTTACAAGTTCGGCAGATTGACTACATGTGAAGAGTAGAAGGTGTTTCTACAGTTCGGTTTGCTTCATTGTGCCACTATTTTCTGGGTATTTCCCTGTAGCGCTAAATAAAGTTTTGTAATTTTTTAATGAAATCACAAACCGATTGATGTTAGACCATCGTTGGAAACCTGGAAGCACTGAACGGCCGTTTCATCCTATTGTGGGACACCTCAGCAGTGCGCGTACACGATCCCGCTCGCATGGTTCTAACCCAGGGCCTTCAGTCTCGCGAGCGAACACTTAACATCGAGAACAATGAGCCGGCATCCAATGGTTTTAGTGTCTAATATCAAACAATCCTCGAAATTGAGCGACCGTCTTCCATTGTACTGAGGTATATACCTGTCTACTTGTGTACTGCATTAAAGCAGCCTTTCTCTGTTTATAAAAACACATTGAACTGCCGGAAAACGTTCGGAGAATCGCATTCAGATTGATTTCTGAACTCGCAAAGTTGCCGTATGGTGAGAGACCGGATAAACCTAGTTCCCTGTTCTTTAGAAGAATCATCTGTGAACTTATCACAGACTTTTAATTACTTAATGATAAACTTGAGCCGGACATACTATTATACTTGTAATCTTTAAGATCAATGACTGAGAACAAGTGCGTTAACCAAGAACTAACATGTGAATATTCTTGAATATACACTTGGGTAATTAAATTCACTAGTGTATACAGTAGCGGTAAACAACTAAAGTTTTATTGTAATGAGTGGACAAAACTGGGCCGATATAACGATAGTATTGTATGAACACCAAAGATATACGTCTTCGCAATGGAATTTTTATTTACACTGGCACTTAGAATCATTAGCAATTTTGATGTATTACTGCATTAAACAGATCTAACATGCCTCATATTGAAATGAATACAAACTGTCCTGACTACTAACCAATCAGCGCTTCCCAACTTTATTTTACATTGATATAATATTGCAATAAGATCGACAGACAGAAAACCAAGCAAAGGAATATTAGGATTTACACAAATGGCATCTGAATTAATCACATTTCTAGGCTTAAGCAATACTATAGAATTGAACTAATGCATTTTTAAGTCACAAGCCCAATTAGAAATTACATCTCTAAACAAATATTCAGTTACGTTCATTTTATGTCAGTTTTAAATAACATACATACCCTCAATTTTCATTTCTGCTAAAACAGAAAATTTACGAAAATACTCTAAAAACGTTCGAAAGACCGAAACAGATCAGAGGTCAGCTAATTACAAACTTTCTCATCGAATTATCAGTCAGTGAACATCTTAACTGAAAATGTAGTTCAACCGTCATCTGTAGACGTATTATAAAGAACTTTGGATCAACCGAGAGTCCGCCATTTTACTATCCAACACTAGCCACTCACCCGTCTGTCATCCCAGACTGGAACGCATTTCTTACTCATAATTTAAGTAGCATTGAGATCCTTGAATAAAAATATGTTACAGTCAACAGTTTCTCAAGCACTACATATTTGCAACATCTTTATTAAGAGCAAAGTGTAAGAAAAATAATTGCAGGTAAATATCAGTGCTGCGTACTGTGTCAAAAATTAATCATGACATGCAGATGATGGCTGAGACTGACGAAGAAAAATTTATTATCTCATACATACCATTACACATAAAAATCACATACCTTCTGCTGTGATTTTCTAAAATACACGTAGTATTAACAATCTTTTCAGTGTTCCTTACAACCTACCGTTTTCACGTGACTTCACTGAAGCTTTGGGAACCACAGATTCTTTCTACCTTTACTGGGCAAATAATAAGAATTTCTTACTTTGGTATTTATTTAAAACAATTAATCCCTTTGATTAATTTCGATACGACATCTCTTCGTTTCAGTTGTTGAATATAGGTCTTTTCAGTAATTATATTTCGAACTCAAAGGTCGTATGATTATGATCACATGTCATCACTAATTCATTGTATTTCGTTGCTTTCATTTCAGTTGCAGGTGCAAACGAAGATGCATGGTTATTTCTAATTGGTAACATAATTTGGATAATGTGACGAGAAGACATACATTTCGAACAATCTGATCACACACATACTTGATGAGACATTTAATATGAAAACTTTAAGGTCAACTAGACAGGTTAAAAGTAAGCCGTAGCAAAGAAAAATGAAGTACGCAAAAATGATGTGATAATCACTCAGGATAATAAATTAGTATTACTAGGTTATGTTAATGGGAAGAACAAATTATTTTCTTACATGCGAAGAAGAAAAGAGTAGCCAACTTCCTTTTAGGAGAGATGATGGTCCTATACAACGTTCTGTATATAGAAAGCCGACATGAACAGAGCAATATCTTAATTCCCATAGTCACTGCCCGATTCCTTACAAACGTTGATCGATAAACGATTATTCAGTAGAATCAGTCATATTTGTACTAGCGATACTAGTGAAGTAGAGACGAAGCTCCTGACTGAAATGCTAATGAATAATGGTTATTCATTTAAGTTCACAAACCGCTGGAACAGTTGCAATACGATTAGACACATGACGTCTATGCCACCAAAAAAGCAAGCTTACAGTATGTCACCATTTAGAGGCGACCCAAATAGTCCAATGTTGCGACGGAGAATTAAATTAGCCACCAACTGGGCACCTCATGGACCCAACTTATTATTGAAAAGGCTTACATTTAACATGTCTAGTTGAACTTCTAGTTTTCATATAGAAATGTGTTAACAGGTATATGTGTGATCAGATTGTTCGAAATGATTTACGCAAATATATCACATAGTTCTGATAACCTTCGTTTTCTCAATGGAATATCCGGCAATAACCTACATATAAATCAGATCATCATTTCCAGAATGGCATCGTAATAGGTTGACTGAAATGCCATTGTATCCCTTTCGATGCAAGTATGTGAATTATTTTCAGCCTACTACAATGGCGTACGAACTAGTGAGATTCAAGCACGGCACTAAAAATTTAATATATGCCGTTGCTGCGTATTTTAGATGGAACTCTTCTTCATTCAACAGGACAAACGAGTGTTGTGGTGTAGAGCTCATGTTTAAATCATGAAATATCTTTGAACGACCAGCTTAGATTTTAGATACACAAATGTATTCGTATATCTTTTTATTGATTGAATATTCTTCTTCGTTCATGCAATATTGTCTTAAGGATGGAAGATATTATATACAGTTACGTTTACCTTTTTCCTCCATTCCGTTATTGAAGTACGGTATCTTGATCTATATGCAACTTACGGACCCAAATTGACAATAGAACCAAGCCTCAATTTAGGTACCGAAGTTTATTCGCCATGTCGTTCTAACAGTAGTTATAACAATTACAAAACAAAACTTCAATTTTGTAGGTTCTCGAAGAAAAAGCTCTCAAATACAAAACCAAAGCCAAAGAGAGACCAAAATGTCCGAAAATAATGATATAAACAATAAAATTTAAAGTTGAGTGAAACGAATGCATCCAAATACCTTAGTCAAATTATTATTCTTCAACATAGAATTTCTAATGAGTTCTCCTGTAACAATACTCAGTATTATCAGTAGATTGAACAATCAAGCTAAAGTCCACAAATGAAGCAGCTGAGAATGTATTTCGAAATGTTTACTTAAATCTAATGCACCCCACATTTCTTGGACTACACCAAGGGGTCCGAAAAACTCTCCACCATGGTACAGTAAGTAGATTCTCACCCTTCTCTGTAAGAGGAGAAGAATGTGGAAAAGAGCTAGATCACTGGGTTTTAAAGGGACAAAATCTCAATATCGAGAATCCCGAAATATTTGCGCTTTGACTCCTCGAAAGTCTAGAAGGCTGCATGAAGAAAAATCTGTTAAGCAATCAATAGAACGCTTTAAACGCTTGTATTCCTATATCAATCAAAAGACGGAAGGAGGAGGAAATATTCCAGCACAATGGGGAGACGGTAATGATTCATCATTAGTGAGGGACGAATACAGTAAAACTCAAGAATTACCACACTGATTCAGCAATGTCTATACTGCAGAAACACCGTTACCCTCAATTTATGTAGATCCCCACCCCCAATACATACAACAAGACCATTAAAGAACTCAATCTCTTTGGTCTGATAAACGAGGTTGATATGGGAAAATCCACAGGATTTTGCAAAAAGCTTCAATCTATGTTGGCCTGATCCTTAGTGAGTGTTGGGGCAAATTCGACATTGATGTTTTTAGTTTGCAGGAGATTTGTTCGACTGCTTATACTGATTATTTGCATGCATGATTGTTTCGGTAACCTCCAATTAGACTGACAAAGTTTTGAGATATTTACTGAATGAGCAACTGATAGAGAAACACACTGAAAATCATCTGTAATGGATGAAGATACCGAGAATACAACATTATCCAATGATAATTACAAGACGGTTTGTTGACAGATTTTGTTAATAGTTTCCAATTTTATCAATCATATTACGTGATTATCAAATCATGACAATGCTTCATGACGATATCCTGAAACCATTATGTTAAATTAGTTATAGTGTTGATTGAGAAGTAGCCAGTTGAAAATAGGTATTGTTGTTTTATGTGCTTCTGAAATAGCAGAAGTTTGTAGCATTAAAGAATCCGAGCTACCTAATTATATTATAAATCGCAATTTAAAAAAATTCTTTTACATAGTGTTAATTTTAGTAGTAGGCTCAGGAGTTTTAATTCTACTTGATAGTGAAGTTATTATGCTGGTGCATTATAGTAGCACTTAAATTCGGTGAC